TTTTAGGAATTCTAGTTTTATAAATAAAAAAAATAAAGTTTTATTATAAATATAAAGTTAAAGTTATATTTAAATATAAAGTTTCCAAACCCCGGGAGAAGCTTATTATTGAGCTATCTTTAAGAGCAACAAATTAATATTGTGTCCTAATCCATTAGTTTGTAAAACAAATATATTATTTGCCATGTTTGAAATAGGGGAAAACTGAGGGGGAAAACTGAGGGGAAAAACATAACACAATTTTTTTTTGTCAGGTCGTATGCACAATCCTCTTTACCAACAGCAATGGCTGTCAGCGTCTCTTTTTTTTGGTCCATTATTGATACAAATGGATTTCAGGAGCTTATGTTGTGCAGCTCCAGTAGTCCAGACCCAATCAAACCTGTTAATTCGGACGGAATACAGCCATGAGTCAAATGCTGAGCTCAGCTGGTGGCCCAGGCTTAGGAACAGCTGGTGGCCCAGGCTTAGGAACAGCTGGTGACCCAGGCTTAGGAACAGCTGGTGGCCCAGGCTTAGGAACAGCTGGTGGCCCAGGCTTAGGAACAGCTGGTGACCCAGGCTTAGGAACAGCTGGTGGCCCAGGCTTAGGAACAGCTGGTGGCCCAGGCTTAGGAACAGCTGGTGGCCCAGGCTTAGGAACAGCTGGTGGCCCAGGCTTAGGAACAGCTGGTGGCCCAGGCTTAGGAACAGCTGGTGGCCCAGGCTTAGGAACAGCTGGTGGCCCAGGCTTAGGAACAGCTGGTGGCCCAGGCTTAGGAACAGCTGGTAGCCAGGCCAGGCCAGGCCAGGCCAGGCCAGGCCAGGCCAGGCCAAGCCAAGCCAGGCCAGGCCAGGCCAGGAGGGGGGGGGAGGGGGGGGGAGGGGGGGGAGGGGGGAGGGGGGGGGAGGGGGGGGGGGGGGGGAGGGAAACAGGGAAAGAAATTACCAATTTTTTTTTCTTTCTCCAATAATTTCCGTTGTTTTGAAAGGCTTGCAAGGTTGAGTGCGTCAATTTAATTTTCCGCCCCCCCCTCTCCATCCCAAGGAACTAATAATTGCAGGGTTATTGCCTCCTCAACCTGGTCGCTGCTGCTGTCATGTGTCTTCGTGCTGGGGGGGGGGGGGGAGTGTGTAGAGGGGACCCGGATGATTCTTAAAAAGATTTTGGGAAGATAAAAATGATTTTCCTTGGAATTTCTAGGAGTAGTAAGCGGGTTATATATATATTATATATATAATATATATATATATATATATATATATATATATATATATATATATATATATATATTATATAGAGAGAGAGAGAGAGAGAGAGAGAGAGAGAGAGAGAGAGGAAGAGAGTACCCGGACTTGCCTGGGTCTGTCTCTCTTTTCTCTCTCTCTCTCTCTCTCTCTCTCTCTCTCTCTATATATATATATATATATATATATATATTTATCTATCAATATCTACCTATCTTTTTATTTCTATATTGAGAGAGAGAGAGAGAGAGAGAGAGAGAGAGAGAGAGAGAGAGAGAGAGAGAGAGAGAGAGAGAGAGAGAGAGAGAGGGGCAGAAGGAAAGCGAACCCTTTTAGCAGAAGACGATGTGAAGGTGTTACACCAACGCCACTTGCAGGCCTGTCCTTGTGGATTCAAGCTGGCGAGAAACCCTTTCGTGACTCCCAGTTAATGAGCAAGACCCCCTCCTTCCCCTCCTCCTTCTTCCCCTCCTCCTTCCCCTCCTCCTTCCCCTCATCTACTGGTGAGAGGGCGGGGAGCGCTGGAGGCAGGCGGAGGTAAGGCAAGAATATGGAAGAATCTGAAAATGCTGTTTTAATCGCGATAATTGTGTTTTGACAAGTGAAACGAGAGAGAGAGAGAGAGAGAGAGAGAGAGGAGAGAGAGAGAGAGAGAGAGAGAGAGAGAGAGAGAGAGAGAGAGAGAGAGAGAGAGAGAGAGAGAGAGAGACGGTCTCCCTTCATGCAGGTCGGCGTTCAATCCCCCAACCGCCCACAAGTGGTTGGGCATCATTCTTTACCCCCCAATCCCATCTCAAATCCTTATCCTGATCTCTTCCAAGTGCTATATAGTCGTAATGGCTTGTCGCTTTTCCTTGATAATTCTCTCTCTCCCCTCAAACCCCCATAAACAGAACAACCAGAGTCCATCCGGACTCCTGATTGGTTGTGTCCCCCATCCGGACATATGATTGGTTGTTTCTCACCCATCACCTGAGGCTCACCTATCAGAAGAGTGTCTATAAATCAACCCCCATAACACCCTCCTTAAAACCTCCTCCTCCCCCAGCCCTGATCCCATCCCACTCAGTCTCCCAATTACAACTCCTGAACCTATTCCTACACCTCCCTCTCCAAACCTCCCCCCATAACACACACCAATTTACCAACCTCTCACTCCCTCTCTCTCTCCTTACCCACTAAGTTCCTCAAACTTCCCTTCTGCTTTCATCTGCACACAAGGAGGCCTTAAGGAAGAAGTAAGAGAAGGACATCAAAGGATGCTGGCAACAAGAGAGGATTATAGCATTACTTGCTATAATCCTCTAATCAATAATGCTATACATAACATTATTGATTATAGCATACTTGGGCCATCTCATCTTCGTTAGGTGAATTGATACAACTTTTCATACTTTATTAACACTGAGAATTCCCCCCAAAAATGGGTTCAAGACCGGGATATTCATAGGGTTCTGGGACCAGATTCACCAAGCAGTTACGCAAGCACTTACGAACCTGTACATCTTTTCATAATCTTTGGCTGGTTTGTTTACCCTTATTAACCAGTTAATGAGCCCCGAAGAACCAGGAGACTGTTTATAACAATAACAACAGTTGATTGGCAAGTTTTCATGCTTGTAAACTGTTTAATAAATGTAACCAAAGCCGTCAAAGGTTGATGAAAGATGTACACGTTCGTAAGTACTTGCGTAACTGCTTCGTGAATCTGGCCCCTGGAATCTAGATTTACGGCAAGTTCGAGGTCGTTATATCGGATGATATAACGGGGGGATATAACGATATATCAACATGCTTAAAGAGTCCGGAATATGAGATGACCAACAAGTTTAAGCATCTGAAACCCTCAGAGGCGTCAAGTTAGCTTTAAGATAATCTTCAAGTGGTTCAGGGGATCAATGACTCTGCGGCCCTGTCTCTGACCTACTCTCCTGGTTTGTGATCGGTTTAACCAGGCTATTAGAAATCGCTGCTCGCAGGCTGATGTATTAATCACAGGCTGGTTGATCAGGTATCCTATGGGGTATAATGACAATATAAATAATTTTACAGAGTTAATTTCTTTAATTGTGAATGTTTCAAGCGATGCTATTTTGTCTTTCTTAAAAGTTTCTGTGTCTTTTGTAATATTATTTCACTGCAAAATATTCAGTAATTGCTAAAATACTTTGACAGCTTTTTACACAGGAGAGTGTAGGAACAGACGCCAGCTAACGCCTGTTAACAGGCTAAAAGCTTTCCCTTCCCATAGTTCATGGTAAACTTTACCTTACACGGAACACGACTCGTCAATCAGTTAACAACCAGGTCCCCAATTACTACTGGTTAAACAGAGGCGAACAGTTAAGAACTATAGCGCCCAGTCAATCCTCCTTGCCTAAGACTAATCATACCCAGACCAAAAAGCTCGATATTACCACCCCGCCTCCAACGACTTTGTCAAGTGGGTTAAATAATAGTTTGTAAGCTACTAAACAAGGCTGAATGACAATTGCATTTTAGATGAATTTGCAGCTCAAAGTTGATATCATCGGTTCCAGATCTGACAGGTTATCGAAGATGATGATGATGATAAACTGATATGACGATATAAATTCCAAGTAATGTTGGTAAAAGCTCCTTCTCATCTCTCTGACGGCATTTTTACTGAAAGTTCTCAAATTTATAGCAGGCATTCATATGCTAATAGAAGTGTAGGTTTCAGATGAACAAATCCACAAGGGCCGTGAAGAGGATTCGAACCTGCGCCCGAGAGCATCCCAGACGCTGCCTTAATCGACTGAGCTACGACATGGTCAAAAGGAGTTGAAACCGAAGTTCTACTGAACTTACTGGATCCTGCAGCCTCTCCGAGGCACAAACCAATGTTTTACACAACTCCCCCCTGCACTCGACTTATGTCAATAGGCCGTTCTCCCCCTTCGCCAAGCATTGCAAAATTTGCAATGCTTGAAAAGTATAATAATTTATTCAAGCCTTCAATTACCACAGATGGTGTTAACGAGATGAAATTAGCATTGATGGTTACATATGTATTATAGTGATATATGTATATGTAGTGTAGTGAATATATGTATATGTAGTGTAGTGAGTATATGTAATGTGTACAGTGGTGAGTATTCTCACCTGTCAGACGGGAGACTGGGGGTTCGATTCCCCGTAAGGAAAGGGGGAGGGGGGAGGAACCCCTTTGACAAGCCATCGGCTTCCTGTTCCCATCGAGGCCACTAGAGATAAATTCTGGCAAATTCTGGTAAATTCTGGTAAATTCTGAGAAATATCTCACTAGATAAATACATTTTTGCTGGCGGGGACAGGAAGCCTGTGCTTTAACTTATTGATCCTTTGCCCTTTATTGACCCTTGACTTATTGACCCCTTGGCCCTTTATTGACCCTTGACTCTTTATTGACCCTTGACTTATTGACCCTTGACTCTTTATTGACCCTTGACTTATTGACCCTTGACTCTTTATTGACCCTTGACTTATTGACCCTTTAAAGTTGTTGACCCTTTAGGTCAACAACTAACCTTCCCATACTAGTTGCCTAACTCCCACATACTGATTTAGTGCTAGGTGAACAGAGGCATTAGGTGAAAAGTGCCCAACCGCTTCTGTCCTGCCAGAGATGCGCATTACAATGCTCTTCCGGATGGAATTAGACTTCCAGATAGGTCCAGTATCGCAGACTGTTGAGGATGCTGTCTCTTAGCCAGATGGGTTCAAGAATGCTGTCATTAGCCAGATGGATTCAAGAATGCTGTCTCTTAGCCAGATGGGTTCAAGAATGCTGTCATTAGCCAGATGGTTCAAGAATGCTGTCATTAGCCAGATGGATTCAAGAATGCTGTCTCTTAGCCAGATGGGTTCAAGAATGCTGTCATTAGCCAGATGGTTCAAGAATGCTGTCATTAGCCAGATGGGTTCAAGAATGCTGTCTCTTAGCCAGATGGTTCAAGAATGCTGTCATTAGCCAGATGGATTCAAGAATGCTGTCTCTTAGCCAGATGGGTTCAAGAATGCTGTCATTAGCCAGATGGTTCAAGAATGCTGTCATTAGCCAGATGGATTCAAGAATGCTGTCTCTTAGCCAGATGGGTTCAAGAATGCTGTCATTAGCCAGATGGATTCAAGAATGCTGTCATTAGCCAGATGGGTTCAAGAATGCTGTCACTAGCCAGATGAGTTCAAGAATGCTGTCTCTTAGCCAGATGGGTTCAAGAATGCTGTCATTAGCCAGATGGGTTCAAGAATGCTGTCATTAGCCAGATGGGTTTGAGAATGCTGTCATTAGCCAAATGGATTCAAGAATGCTGTCACTAGCCAGATGGGTTCAAGAATGTTGTTTCTAGCCGGATGGGTTCAAGAATGCTGTCACTAGCCAGATGGGGTTCAAGAATGCTGTCACTAGCCAGATGGGTTCAAGAATGCTGTCATTAGCCAGATGGGTTCAAGAATGCTGTCACTAGCCAGATGGGTTCAAGAATGTTGTCTCTAGCCGGATGGGTTCAAGA